AAATAAGGAATTTATATACAATATCTCTATAACGTATATCTTTCTATAATAATAATGCACTTCCCCGATTCTTTTTTTATATTTTTTATAATTAATTTTTCTCTCTGAAAATAAATACAGAAATACACATGATAACAAACCAATGTTTTTTTATTATCTACTTATTAAAAATCATCTCTATAAGCCGATTTTATTAAGTTTTTTAAAACTGAAGATTTTTTTTGTGACTTTGGTTTAACAAGATCTGCATGTATAACAAACATCTTCTATTAACGAAACTTTTCATAATATAAATATGAAGATCCAGCCAAACCGAAAAAGTTCGGTTCGGTTCGGTTTGGTTTCGGTTCGGTTCAAAGAGTAAACCGAAACCAAACCGAACCGAACCAAAATTTTTCGGTTTGACTTTTTATAAACCGAAACCGAACCGAACCAAAACCGAACCAAAATTTTTCGGTTTGAACCGAACCGTTCGGAGCTTTAACTATATTAATGCAGATACTGTCCAGCCCAAGATTGATTTTTGATGTCTTCACTTTTGTTTAACTTGGTTTTGTTGATCCTAATTTTTGTACCCAAAAAACTATGGAACAAGAAACAAAAATAAACACCATATTATCTTTGTTGTATATAATATTATTTTATTATTAAAAACAAAATACAATAAACAAATATAAAATAAAAATAAATTGTTAATTTTTAAACAATAATTCAATTGTTAGTCCCGCTGATGCTGATACAAAACCAAGGAATGCTGGTGATGGTTTAAGAGATCTACTAAGATATTCTGGGTGAATGTAGAATGGATGACCTGAAAATAAAGAATTTTGGTAATCATTATCATTATTATTAATAGTGATGATTACTATTAGTAGTGTTTACATACTAGCTAATAATTTTAGTGAAGGAGATATAAGGTTTATATAACTGTATCGCAAATTTTTACTATCAAAAAACGTGATCTGCAAGAAAATTTTCATAACAAAAAAATGTGTATTTTTACATTTTACACATATTATTTTCTTACCTGTTATATGTAACCCCCAAATAAATTTTTTTAATAGAAGTATGGGGTTTTGAATACCATTTATGAAATAAGAAAGATCGTGGTGAGACTGCAGGAAAATATCTTTTTTTATAATTTTTGAGTCACAATTGGAATTTTGGGCCAGATTTGGTCCAAAATTCGTTTAAGGATAGCAGGGAAAATTTCCTGATGTTCAATTAAACCATATCTGGTTTCATTGACACATAACTACATTTACAAAAAAAAAAAGAATTTCATAATTATATCAATGAAGACATTACAGATGAAGAGAACAAATGAGTGGATATGCTTATGGCCCACTTGATTAATGATTCATACAAGAAAACAAATTTGGCATTTCAACCCACTCTTTTGGCAAACTGAAGTAATCTACTTCAAAAAGCCAGTGTGTATCTGAAATTGAAATTGTTGATTATTAAATTGCATGAATATTCCATGTAAATTTCAGAGCAATACATACCATGAAAATCCATCATAGTTAAAGAGACTTCAGCCTTGAATGCTGTTAACCCATATACTCTAAGATCTGAAAATAAAATGCTGACATGCTTCAGCTTCCAAGATTACAATATTATTGTAAAGTTTTGACATTGTGATATCATTTTTTGCATTATCATCAAAGATTTTATGCTCTGATGCCCCAGGTCATGCTTCCTCCACACTAACTATTGGATAGTTATTGACATCATTCAAAAACCCAATGTCATCAACTCATACTCTTGTTGGCACATTTTTGAATGATATTTCTCCACTAAAAGAATACAAATAATTCATCATTATTGTAATTTATGATTAATTAATTGTAAATTCAAAGCTTAAATCTGCTTACAAGATGTAATTCAATTTTACAAAACCCAAAGGACTGAATCAATAAATAGATGTACAGACTGATTTATATATGGTTTTTCAAGGGTCTTTAGATCCCTTAAAGGATTAAGAGCATCCAAAAAAAAAGTTTTGAAGCTAGAAAAGAATGAAGGTGATTTGGTAAAAGGATGTTGGATCTGTTTACATTATATTTATGTAATCTTACTTACAATTGAGGGAAGCCTCTTTGATTACTCTTTTATTTTCAAAAGCAAATCTGAATCACTTAAATTTGAGGTAATGTTACTAATCATCCGGAAAATATAAAAAAATTTTACACATGTCAATTGTAAGTTTAATAATAAAAAAGTGTAAAACTTACGTCGGCACTGTAAGATTTACACAATATTACGTTGGCATTGTAAGATTTATGCAAGTTTACGCTAAATTAATTTCCTGATGATAGTGTTGCCCATCCTTGAGAAGTGAGATCATTGTTGAAGAGTTCGACAATGTAAACTATGAATTTCAGCAGTAATATAATCAATTTTATCAAACACTTCATGAAGAACATCTTGCTGCAAAGATAAATCAAGAAGAAGTGAAAAGTTGGATTTTGGACGTAAGTTCATGATCTTTGTTCCAGGAAAATGGTTGAAAAAAAATTCTGTAAGGGCCTTTTCAGCATCAGATGATAACATTGTTTCTTCAAAAATGTTCTTAACACATATCGTCTTTGTGTAAGGAATGAATAAAAAAAATAAACTGTTATTTTTTTGTAAAACAATGACAGTAATATAACCAGAACAGACCTTTTCAGTTTCAAAATCTTCATATTCTTTTTGTTCAACATTCTCTTTACCATCTTCTGTTCTTTGCATGTTGCCATAGTTTTCTAGTTTTTTGGGACTTTCGTGTAAACTATCATGACTTTCTTTTAACAAATTGTGTTCTTTATTTGAGCTGCATGCTTTCTTCGTAATCTCTTTGTTCTATAATGTTTATGGATCAGAAGAATAAATGCAGTAAAATATCAAATGAAAATTCATTGACAAAATCAAACACTTACTACAGAAAGGTTCTCATTGGAATTTTTAGCTATCAATATCTTGTCTGACATGACACTAAGCTGCTCTGTTTACATTATATTTATGTAATCTTACTTACAATTGAGGGAAGCCTCTTTGATTACTCTTTTATTTTCAAAAGCAAATCTGAATCACTTAAATTTGAGGTAATGTTACTAATCATCCGGAAAATATAAAAAAATTTTACACATGTCAATTGTAAGTTTAATAATAAAAAAGTGTAAAACTTACGTCGGCACTGTAAGATTTACACAATATTACGTTGGCATTGTAAGATTTATGCAAGTTTACGCTAAATTAATTTCCTGATGATAGTGTTGCCCATCCTTGAGAAGTGAGATCATTGTTGAAGAGTTCGACAATGTAAACTATGAATTTCAGCAGTAATATAATCAATTTTATCAAACACTTCATGAAGAACATCTTGCTGAGAGATAAATCAAAGAAGTGAAAAGTTTGATTTTGGCTGTAAGTCCATGATTAAATATGGGAACCACGATTAGCCACAATTCAATTTTCATATGCTGCAACTGCAACCACAATTAAATTTTTATATGCCACGATTAATTGAGGAACCATCTTTATCCATGATCTTATTCCAGGAAAATGTTTGAAAAAAATTTCTGTAAGAGCCTTTTCAGCATCAGATGATGACATTGTTTCTTCAAAAATACTCTTAACACATACACTGCCCTCCAAAAAGTATTTGGACGATGTTTTTTGATAATTACGTAAAATGCCACATAACAAAAGTACATAAAATTTATGTCATTTTATGGCTTGGTTCTGACGACTCTACATATAAAATCTCATTTTCCTATCATTCTTTTATGATTTTTAATTAAAAAAAAAACGAACACCAAATAAATCGCGAGGCTTATTTTTGTGATTTTCCAATAATTTTATTTTTCTCAAAATTTTATATCATAAAATTTAATAAAAATTTAACAGTTTGTAGTTTAGGTTCTCATAAATAAATGACTAAAACTTC